AAAAAAAAAAAAAAAAAAGAAAAAAAGAAAAACCGACAAGAGAGAGGAGAGCGAGAGCGCGAGAGAGAGAGAGAAAGAGAGAGAACGGACGCGACACGCCGGGCCCGGAGAGCGAACGAACGTCAGGCCGACGGCGATGCAACAAGTGACAGACGAGAGCCACGAGAGAAGGAACTTTTAGTTCCCTCGCTTTTAGTTCCTTCACCGGATGGCGCTAGCGCTCGGCGCCTGCGGAAGTCCAGTATGAAATTTTACCACCCGCCGTTTCTCGCTCCTTCCGAAGCTTTCTTTCATCCAAACAGAAAACACTCGAGATCGCCTGGCAGATCTAACGCCCCAATAGTTTCACGCATTCTCACGATTTCTGCTGGCGTATAGCGCAAAATTTAGGTTAGGTTTAGGTTAGCTTTAACGGCCCAGTCGTGGCGCATGGAGCAAGCTTTGCTAAATAAATAGAACGACACGAGGAATGTAAAAATATTGAAATTAACTCGACTACTTTCAGAAATTCAATCAATTTCCCTCGATCCTTCTATTCCACAAGTGTCGTTGAAGCTTTTTCAAGCTTCCCAAGGGAAAAGCCTTGCACGAAAATATATATGCCTACTTAGACGCGAACGAGCTTTTTCCTCCATCAGATTAATTAAGAATGGCCCGACGAAAGGATTTGAAGAATTTGATGATTCTCGTTACAATCAACGTTCTCAACTTTGGACGTGGATAATTTGATCAAGAGCAAACATTGAAAAGTAAGTTACTTTGTCTGTTGCACGTTTTCATTGTTGAAATAATTTAGCGGCGCGTCGAAACTCACTTCGAGAAAAAATCGGCAGGTTTGGCCAGCCTTGCTGTAGATCCTCGAAGAGGGAAGCCAGACGTTTCGTCGTCGTTGCGGAAAATCTCGTAACGGTAAGAAAACAGGTAAGGAAACACGCAAGTTTCAAGACAAACTTTTTGTTACGTTACGTTGTGTCGAACTCTGCGAAGAGCTCGAAGCTTTAATATTCTACGTGCCTATTCTACGTAGAACAACTTTAAAAACTTTGAAAAGGATAGCTGCGTTTGTGTCTTTTCTTTGAAAGAGAAAACTGCACGATTTCAGAATGGAAAAATCGAAAACTTTGCAAGCTCGTAGGGAAATTCTTGACAAAGAACATTTTTTTCTCTCGAGAACAAAATAGAACCTTTTCGAAGAACTTTGTCCAATAAAATTTTCGTTCCTCGCAGAATTTAAAAAAAAGAGAAGAACTGGCTCTGAGACTCGTATTCGAGAACGCCTGAACGATAGAAATGGAGTGAACGATCGACGCGGATTCGAAGGAGGTGGGGCACGTATATATCCTTGGATATTGCAAGATCCTTTCGGACACTGCTGAGCATCGCCGAGAGGTGACAGCACAAGTTTTACCGGCGATACAGATCGATTAACGATTCGGTAGAGAGGCCGAGATCTTCGATCTCTCGAGGAAGCGGCAATTTTAAAACGAGAAAGGTAAACGACTCGACTGTGACCAAAAGTCACTTTAGACCACGGGTGGCCAATCTCATAATTTCTGCTGACGCATAGAGCAAGATATTGTCATCATCGTTTATTAGAGTAGAGTAACGCGTCAAAGAAAAAAAAAAAAAAAGAAATAAATAAAAGTTTAACCAGCCTTGCTTTAGAGCCGCGCGTGTGTGTGTGTGTGTGTGGTGAAATTTCGCAAACGTTTGCAGCTCAATGCAGAACGAAAGAAATCGCGAAATGTTGGAGGAACGTTGTCTTGTTCGATCGTTTCACTTTGGTATGCAGATTGCAAGAGTCGAGGTAGCTACGAACGATTCGGTGTATTCTCGCGCATAGCGTCGAATGCCAGTTGGAAACGTGGAACGCGCAATTGTACTTACTTGCAGCCAACAATATCACTTGACATTTACACACGCGGAAGGTCCTGACTATTCTCGTGAATAACCGCGACGACGCGACGCCAAACAGCGACCCGTTTGGAATTGATTTTATCGGTAAAACAAGAAAAAAAGAACGAACCGAGCCGAAGGAAGGTCGACACCCGACTAACTTTCGTCCATCGGTATATATTGTTAATCGTGCGCCAGTTTGCGCTTATCAATACATATATATATATATATATATACTCGCGGTAATTCCACAGACTATTGCAATAGAATTTCCCACAGATATTAACTCTCATTTTTTTATTTTTTAAATTCGTTACAATTGGAATCGTTGTGATTTATTTTCATTAAAGTGAGAGCTGTTTCTATCGTAACAGATTAATTTTTCAACAGATTAATCCTAATCTAGACTCCCGATCCACGATCATTCTTCTCATTTTCCGACCTCGTCGGCGATCGAAACGATTCGCGGATTTGAACAAAGAATTTCCAACGACGTTTCTCCGAATGATCCAGAGAAACGGGAGATAAACTCTGGAAATTGTTCCCCCGAACAATAATCGAACGAACGAACGAAACGAAAGTTTTCCCGTCGATGGTTTCTCGGCGAGCCAGGTTTATCCTCCGTCCGCGGGCGACACACGGGTGGAATTTCAAGGATAATCGTCCTGTCTAGCCAACAACGCCACCTGAGAGGCTTTCTTTAGCCTCTTGGAAATTTACGACCTCTCTCGCGAGAGACATTCCGCGCGAGAGGATTTACCGTTGAATCGCGTTGCCTCTCCGATTCGCTTCATTTTACTTCGGACGATCCTGATCGCGACATTTACGACAAACGCATTTTTGTAACGCATCGTCTCTCGCTCTCTCTCTCTCTCTCTCTCTCTCTCTCTCTGTTTCTCGCAAAGATTGCAGATAGCAGATGCGCCCGAAATCGAAAAAGACACGCGAAAGATGTGGCAAAAGCTTCGTCTGACGGAAACAAAAAGGAGATTAAAGGAGATTAAAGGGGGAGGTGGGGTGGGGTTGGGGGGGGGGCAGCAGGATATCTGGCATTCTGTCTGTGCTAGGAACAGGCACGAGGCCCCCGTTCGAGGTGTCGTTCACTTTCACTGCTTACGCTCGATCAAACTATACAAAACGTCGGTCCTAAGCGGGCTGATTCCTCCTCGTCTTTCGATTCGATTCGATTCGATTCGATTCTCGTTACGACTCAGTCGTCGTAGCACACTTTTCAGTTGGGTGGAAAAGTTTTCTGCTCGGATGATGAGATTCGTCTGGCGATTTGCAATTTGCACTTGCAATTTCCCCGCTGACGCGCGAGGAAGGCGGTTGACGATTTGTCCGGGCGGACAACGGCTACGATGGATATATCGTTCAGGATATGTCAGAGTGGCCTGGCAGGCAGGCAGGCAGGCAGGCAGGCAGGCAGGCAAGATAGGTGGACGTGGATGGGTTCGGCCACGGGTGGTTGCTGGCCGAGTGAGAGTGACAGAGTCATACATATATATAGAGAGAAGGGGAAACTCGGCTCGGCACTCCAAAGTACACAGCCTCCGCGATTGCAGTGGTGTGCTTTCGGCTCCCTCACACTCGCCATACTCATTCTTCGCGGCTTCGCGCCCGTGGTAACAGTCCGATCCACGTTTCCACGCGCAGCCAACGCCAGCTTCCGGGGGAAAAACCAGCAGCTTTTTCGTCGCCAGGTCGTCTCGTCCGCCACCAGCCAACGGCCACCATGAAACTAGCCATTCTCGCGTGAGTATGCAATCGCCACGCTCGTGACAAACGCTCCTTCACAGTATGAAAAAGCTCGCTTCGAGCGAGTTTTTGCGAAACTTTTCCTAAACCTAACCTACCCGATCGCGCGAGAAAATATTCTCGTAAACACGTTGTTGTTGCCGATCGGGCACCGATCGGACAGAGACGAGTGATTTGATCCACATCGAGAGTGGCCAAGGCCTTCGAAAGGTGCACGTACCTGCAGCTAACGTTTCAAGCTCCCTGCTATTCGGTGTTGCTGTCGTAAGAAGTGCATTTCCATCGGCTCGCGAGGCGAACGAGCGAGCGAGCGAGCGAGCGAGCGAGCGACCAACGAGAGAATAGAGAAATGCAACGTTATGCAAACCGTCGAGAGACCGCGTTCGATCCTGTTCCTTCTCGAACCAGGAAATCAATTAGACTGCTAGCGTAGCTCTGTGTGTGTCGTGGTAATGGTAATTAACCCAACCGAGATTCCAGACACCTTCTCT